GATTAACCGGTAATCTGCTTTTGAACCTCCAATTGATACAGATATTCAGGACATATCTGATTTTCAGCAGTGCAAATGAGAAGGAATTGAGCTGATGCTTACGAGAGAGTAGTAGCATGCAGATTTAGAAGCCATATATAAAACTATGCATTAAGCAATGAGAATGTTGTTTAGGGAAACTATTTGATGTAAAGCCCACCTTATTGTGACTTATAAACCACATAATGTAAAGTTTGTTTTTCCAGGTTTCCTTTGTAGTTTTTTTTGAGTAAATTACATCATTAATCTTTTTAATTTGAGTGAAATTTATTTTGATCCTCATAATTTTAATTGAACAATTTAAATCACGTACTTTAATTTTATTGCAATATAGTCCCTTCACCATCGTTAAACATTTTGAACAGAAAAAATTAAACCATACATTTTACCATTGTGTCATTTTGGTCTTCTATATACTTTCAATTGACTTAATTTTGACCATTAATTTTAGATTTTGTGTCCAATTTGGTTTTAATTAAAAAAGCCGTTACATTTTTGATAGAAATTAATTATTGAGTGGTTGAAGTTAATTCACTGAATTGAGTAAGTTTATAATTTCATTTTTAAAAGTATGACACATGTTGCTTATTTGCATATTTTTTTTATAGAAATGTTAAAAATTGTAATCATTGGATCAAATTAGACAAAATCATAAATTCATAATCAAAATTGAGTCAATTAAATTATAAAAACTAAAATAACATAAGACAAAGTATAATAACTACTGATGCAATTTGTCCAATTAATTTTTAATATAAAAATTTAATATAATATTAAATAATGTGGTCACCTTAATTTGACCAAGCCAATTCAAATTGTTAGTTTGATTTGATTTTATTAATGAAATAATTTGATTTTATTAATATAATATTGTTAGTTTGATTTGACCCAAGCCAATTCAAGTCAAGTTCTACAAAAAATTATAAACAGTTGAACTCAAACCGATTAGAATCGGTTGAATTTTTTTTTTTTTTAATTAACTTTAATGTGCAGAGTAGGGGTATTCAAATTACCCGCTGAATCAATGATCAAACCAAATCAATGTTTTGGGTTTGGTTGATTTTTAGTGTAATGGTTTAGTTTTGAATCTTTGAATCATTAAATCGATAAAAATTGATTGGTTCTTGGTTTAGGTAAGCTTGAGAATCCAACCTATTCCATATATTAGCTGACTTGTGTCTAAAAGCATTCCAATGCAAACGATGCTCCTTACTTGCAATACAAAGGAAACTACAAATGTATAAAATCTCAATGATTTTGGCAATTATATATTTTAATAATGTAAATTAAATAATTCAATTTAAAAGTAATATTTTTTTGTTCCACTACTTTGTTTAACTTGTTGATAAGTATATTGATCAAATTAAAGTTTATGTGTATGTGTAGATACATATTATTTAATGGAACAAGCAAGCTAAATTGAAAATCACATAGTAGTGTAAAATTTTAGTGATATATAGTCCTCTATATTTTTATTTATAACTATAAAAGTTACAACTTATACAAAATTAACAATATTAACCTTTAACAAAAGTGAAATTTTAAAAAATATAAACTCTTTTCAACCTTTTAACAATTTGACAAATTGAAAATGACAAAATTAGAGTATAAAATTTATGATTCTATGTAATAGTAATCAAACAAAAAAATGACACTCATAAATTAAATATTACTAGCAATGACTAATTGTGTGAGAGAACATTTTTTTAAATACGCATAGTATAAAAACTATTAGTCCATCTAAATATTTCAAATTTTGAAATTTATAAATCTCAATGTAAGAAGTCCAAAAAAAAAAAAAAGAAGAAGAAGAAGAGAAATTTAGCTATATCAAACCTATCATACTTATCCATATATAATTTCAAATTTTACAAATTTTTTTAAAAAATTTCAAATGTAACTTTAGTCTTGTTATAATTTCAAGCTTTAAAATATTTACTTCAAAATTTTTCATTTTAATTTTTAAAACTAAAAAATACATATAACGTCAAAATATGTATGACACTTTTATTAATTAAAAGAAATTAATTTTTTTTAAAAAAAAAGAACATGTGTAATATATATTTTTATGGTCAGGAGGAGGGGTCCCTGCTGTGGAGAATCCACAGCCGTGACTGCCTGTGACGTAAAACGCCATTGTTTTAATGTTTTTTTTTTTAATTAATCTGAGGGTTATTAATTCTTCATTAATTCTTTCACTTTAACAAACAAAACAATAAAACCCAATAGGGACGAGCCACCTTCTAGTCCCGGCGGTCCTGTAAAGTTGAAGGGGGTGAGTTTGTGTTAAAAAAAATTTATTTTTAAATAGAAAATATAATAAAATAAAAATAATTCATGGAACAAATCAATTTATGAAACCAAATTATATTTTTTTAAAAGATTAATTTTAAATTAAAATCAAACAAACCATACATGTTTTGACTTTTTTCAAAACTGACTTAAATGCATCAAAAGTGAAATTAAAAGGAAAAAAAGAATTGTATTTGAACAAATCAATTTATCAAACCATAAGCAAAAAAAAATGTAACTTAAAAAAAAAAAAAAAAAACACTTAAGGCCAAAATATATTCAATTCACATCCAACATCTATATAAAAAAAAATAAAAACAAAATTCTGAGACATTTAAACTTCAAAATCTCCTACAAATATCCCAAAATTTGTTCCCAACCGTTCTAAATTATCCAAACAAAATTCTAAAAACCTTCAATTTGAATCCTCAAAACAAAACTACAAAGTGGATCCCCATGTCAATTTTTTGGAGGCGGTTGGGAATAAATAGAAAAATCAAAAGAACTCTCATTTCTAAATTCGGTCTCCATTGGATTGTGCCCCACTGGATTAAGTGATATTCCCTATAAAAAAAAAAGAAAAGAAAAGAAAAGAAAGAAAATTCATTAGAATAAATTTTATGGACTAAATTACATTACAAACATATATATATATATATATATATATTATTACTTACTTGAGAACTTTGTGGACTATGTGATGCTTGGAAAGACAAAGGTTGTGATTGTAGATACTTGGTGAGTATGAATTAGTATCATGTGTGAGAAGATTATACCCATAAGTTATCAATTGGGCCAATAGAAACTCCCACCATCCTACTCCATAAAACACCATGAAAAGTAAATACACTAATACAATGTAGTCTAAAAAATAAACAAAATAACATAAAACAAGAGCTAACCTGTGGTTGACTTAAAGATGAATTTTGAACATTTGTGATATTGCTTGATTGACCAATAATCTACATAAGTTGTTAAATTTATCAATACATTACACAATTTATAAATAATAATAATAATAATAAATAAATAACATAAAACAATAGCTAACCTGTTGTTGCCTTGAGGATGAATTTTGAACATTTGTAGTGTTTCTTGATTGACCAATAGTCTAAAGAAATTCAAAAAGTTATCAATACTTTACATAATTTATAAAAATAAATGCATGTCATTTTGAAATTTCAAAAGTACGTAGGTAATACCTTACTAAGGCGGGTAGGTTATGAAATAACTTTTGTCTTCTTTATCATCATCTCATGCAAGGTTTTAATCTACCCCTCCCTTTGTGTCCAACATCTTTCTTCTTTATGCCCTTAACTTGTGCAATGTTGGGGTCGTCCACATCTAATTCATTGGTACCAAAACTTCCAACTCCCTTCATCATATTATTTACTTTTACACACAATTCCTTAATTCCTTCATCAACCAATTAATAGGCAGGTTTGTGCATAGATGCTTGAGTTGCTAGTTTCACCATTCTTGGACAAAGATCTCTATAACGTGCTAATATTAACAACTTCGGATCATCCTCATCCACTACAACATTTTTCTCTTCAACTTCCAATCTTTTGCATCCAATCTCCATCGGCCTAATATATACCTTTCGGGAATTTCATAACATTCATTCTATCAAGTGCTTTTGATTGCATGACTATAATAAAATTCCAAAGTTCTCAAATTTCTTACAAGTACAATGTATTTCTTGACAGTTTTTTTCTCCTCTTTAGCCCAATAACTTCCACCCTACCCTCCACAATATACCATTTACCATTACCATACAAGCCAATCACGCACTAACTTCTCCTTCTAACTCATGGAATTGCTTCACTTGACAACAAAGGGACGTATCCAACTCACATGAAATAAATCAAAGATAGGAGAGGTGTACAAACTCGCAACTTGGATTAAAATGGGAGACTTTTTCAATTTCATTCTTGGCAACTTTTGCTAGAATCATATAATTGCGGAAATTTCCTCATACCGCTTATCTACAACAATCTGATTGAAGTGAGTAAAGAATTGAACAATGTTATGATCACCCTTCAAATATCCCCTTAATGTTCCATTTAGACTTTCACTAAGTTGTGTGCTTCGCATTCCTCCAGTAAATACCCACTTCATATACACATGCGCACACTGCTCTCTTTTTCTCCAAGTTCTTTTCATCCACTCATTCTCTTGCAGTTGTATTTATCAATCAAAGAATTCCAAGCTTCAATTAATTCATGCTCATTCTCGTAGTCATAAATGCAAGCTTTTTAAATCGCTACTAAATTTTGAACCACTCTTGAACAAGTAACCTAAATGCTTCAAAGCATTTTGCATTAGGTGAAAAGTGCACAACCCATGAAAAACCTCAGGCATGATTTGTGAAATTGCCTTGGCCATTGCTTGATCTTGATCTGTGAAAAAACTAACAGGTTTTTTTCCTGACATTGCATCCAAAAATGTTTCAAATAACCATTCAAATGACTCTGCAGTTTTATCATATAATAATGCTGCACCAAAAATCACTGTCATTCTAAAGTGGTTAAAGCCACAAAATAAAGCAATGGGACGGTACTCTTTATTTGTTCGAAAAGTTGTGTCAAATGACACCGCCATCACCGAAAAGCCCATAATCTGTTATCATCTGATGATCAGCCCAAAAAATATTAGTATCATCTCCTCTACATCCAACTGAATGGCATAGTAAAATATGGATTTTCTGCCACTTGCTGCTGGAAAATACTTAACAAACTCCCCGCTTCACCATACTGCAAGTTTCGTTGTCTTTTTGCACGTAAGTAGGTTTTCTGATCCTCTCGCATGAACCCTACAAATTCCTTCCCTCCTGCTATAGCAACTAATAAGATCATGTAAAGCCTTAAGAGATATTCCACTCTCATCAGCTATGTCAATATTTATACCCTGAGCATCACATACCTTTCTCTGAGATGGCATCAAATGAGTACATTGAGGAAGATGCAAAAGGGTGGTTGTGGTTGCTATCAAACTTCGACACAATCCACTTCGACAAGTCCCGCTTAAAAGATATATGCATAAATGCTTTATAATTTGTTCTTGTCTCACTTCGAGGATTTTTTATCATCGTGTACCGTTTATCTTTTTCCCTCTCTCCCTCCTTACAACAAACAAACTTTCTACTAGTCATAACACCATCTTTCTGACTTTTGTTACAATAATCTCTTCTAATACTAAACCCCACAATTCTTCTGTATCATTTATAAAACTCATATCCAGCTTCTTCTGATGGAAACTCCATACCAAGATATGGTGATTTATCCTTGGCCAATTCTCCCATTTCTTCGATGCATCCCTCAAGTCCACCATCATCCATTATACTATCCTCCATTTCAACACTAACAAATATGGGGGGGAAAAATTATATTATTATATATATATATTAAACGAAACAAGAATCTGAGCAAAAAAGTTATTAATTAATTTTAAATGCTGAGTAATTAAACAATTCAATGAAATCTAATAAATCAATTAATAATGTAAATTAATTAAAAGGATAGGGGAGAGGGAAAAAAAAAAAGATGTGTAATTAATTGTATCTGAGTAGATTATAATATACAATTGCAAAATTATATTAGAATTAGTATATTATATTAATATAGGGAATCTTTTTTGCAGACACGCTTAAAGATGTGAATCATATGCCCTCTTATTATATAAATTTTTGATATATGTTTTGTATTTTTGTTACAAATGTTATGTCATCATTTATTGAGTTATAAACAATTTATGATTAAAAAATTAAATTCGCATTTTATAGTAAGATTATAGATTTTTTTATTGAAACTTTTTTTTAGACCACAAAATGCATAACATTATTACAAAAATAAATAACATTGTTATAAAAATGTGTAATATTTCCACAAAAATACATAACATTGCTATAAAAAAAAAAATTATGAATTACAAATTATCGTAACTCCTTAAAAAATTATATAATATTTATACAAAAATACATAATATGTACAAAACAAATTACATAATAAATTTTTTTTTCTTATAATATACAATTGTGTTTCTCAATCCATTCACAAAAAACAAACCAAACTATTATACTTGTTCAACCCACTAACATACTGTACAAAACAAAATACAAAACATATATACATATAATATATATAGATATACATACCAGTTTGTTGAATAATAATGGTCTGTAAATCCAGCAGAAGAACGATGAAGCAAAAATAAAGAACACTGTTCAATCTGTTTGAGAGAAGACAAAAATGTTAGAAAATAAAAAAATAAAAAATAAAAACTAACTTTTAGAAAATAAAAAAAAAAAAAAAACTAACTTTTCAATCCATGTCAATAGAGACTTTTGCTTACCATGAAGATGGCGGCGCCCTTGTACAAAAATGTTTTGGCAGACAAATAAAAAATAAATAAATAAAACTAACCTTTCAATCCATGTCAATAGAGAACCTTTGCTTACGGATTAGACGGCGGCGGCCCTAGGTTTATTGTTTTGTTTGTTATAGTGAGAGAAAATTAATAAACCCTCAGATTAATTAAAAAAAAAAACATTAAAACGGTGGCGTTTTACATCATAGCAGTCACGACTGTGGATTCTCCACAGCAGGGACCCCTAATTCTTATGGTCATCTGAAAACACACGCCAAAAAGATTCATTAATATAGGGCAATTAATTATTTATTTTTTCTCAACCCATTTATATCTATATATATATATATATATATATTATAAGGAAAAATGAGTTTTTAGTGAGAGACTTGTGAGAGTTTCAATATCTTATACTAATTTTGTAACGCCTCAAATTTTATGCAAAATAATAATATAATAACTATGGCTCTTATGATAACTCGAAACAAATCCCCACCATTTGCATTACATAATCATGAGATTCATATAAAATAATTCCACATGCGAGTATACATTCAATGCTTCCTAGTACATGAATCTATAACATGTAGAATATCAAATCAAAAGATAAATACCCTCAAGGACTTACAAATTCCAAGGCTTAAACCCGGTTACACAAAAATGGTTTCTCGAACCCATACAGTTATAACCCTTGGCTAGCAAAATATAGCATAACAAAACAAGAGCCTTGTGCTCTCAACATATACATCCACACCCTAGTTCGGCGGAATCACCACATCTTTTCCTGCATTAAAATCCCATAAGGTGAGTATAAAGCTCAGTAGGAAATTCTTAATAATGTATATATATTTTATACAAGCTTCACCAAATGAAATGCGCATGCCATGCCATGCTATGCCTTTTGAAAGAAATTCATATTTACATCTTTCGAAAACCATCAAGCTCAATGATCACTTGAAATCTCAACAATTCAAAAATTATCAATTTAGTTCAAGGGGCGATAAATATAACTCAGGTAATCTTTAGGTTGGTATTTACAAGTAGACAAAACTAGCACTACCAAAACCGCACTTTACCAGTTGCTAACGGGAAGGGAAGTGGTACCTCATCCCCGCATGTTTTTGGTCTTTCATCTCGGACTCTCAAGCCAACTTAATCAATTTTATCTACACCTTCTATCCGGACTTACCAACATATTTACCCTAAGCGATTCCATGAAAGTTTATTTAAAAACTTTCTTTTCTTAATGTAAAAGTTTCCAAACTCAATTCAAAATGTGTAATAACCAATAGAATGGATATAAAATGCAACAATTATCAATGTCACATAACGTTTCTCCACTTTCGATTATCTCAACCAACAATTCCATAATAATCAAATTTCCATTTCTCACTTCACTACTATCTTGCAAGATAACCACATTTTCATTTAAATCCATCAATAAATAACCACATTTCTATATTTCATGCAATCCCAATAATTTAGTAATTTCAAGACTAAAGCAACATTTGAACAACAACTTCCAATATCAAACATTCTCATATTTCATGAAACTCATCATTTATATATATAAATAAGAAATTTTCTCATCTTTTACTCATTTTGGCACACAAAATAATATATTAACAATGTCTACCATGTGTTTTCCACACCTCTTTTTAAAAAAATCCCAAATTTCTAGGTTTTTCTCACCACAACAACACACACACCGAAATCATTTGAAAGAAACTCTCCAAAAGCATCTTTTCCCAATCAATAAAGTTCAAGACTCTTAGGAGGTTATCTCAAGGAACAAGAGGTAAACCCACTTTTAAAATCACTCACATTCTTGAGTCAACAATCAAGTTTCAAAGCTACCAAAAGAAATTGCGAAATCAACTAAATCTTGCAAAAACATATATATAACTCTAAGAAAATCCATACCTCAAGTTTGGAGAGGAAATGAGATAAAGCCCCTAAAATCAACGGTGTTGAAACACGATCTTCACCGCACACAACGAAGCTCTCGCGTAGTTCTCTAAGATTTGATAAGAATATAGGATCAAAATCCCAATGGATTGGAAGAAATCAAGAGTTTAAGCAGTTTGGTGGAGGTTTTTAGAGAGTAGGAGAAGCAAAAGATGATTTTAGAGTGAGAAAGAGGTGTATAAAAGTGATATATCCTCAGCCCAAAAAGAAAGAAAAAGCAGAGATTCGGACTCAGATCCGTCCCACACGTACGGCAACTACCTCCGCACGTGCGGCTCTCACCGCAACATGTACGGTGCTCTTCCTCCGCACTTCCCTCCGTACCTGCATATATTACAGTGTTGCACCCTGAGCTTCCCCTGCCTTCCGCACATGCAGCCTCACCTCCTGCACGTGCGACTCTGACCTCCAGCCAGGAATTTTTTTTGCTCAACACAAGACACTCCGGACCCAACCTTGCATCTTCCGAAACATGAGGAACTTGACATAGAAATAAATAAAAGTATGGGCCCTGAAATAAGTTCCAAATATAACAAACCCAAACCGTTAGCAAGTCTCCTGGTTGACTCGATACGCTAACATAGGCAAACCCAAGGTTAAACAAAGGGGACCGAGACGAATAACGTACTCGGTCATCACAACCTCTCCACCATAGGAAATTTCGTCCCTAAAATTAAATCAAACTACCCAAACAAAGGGGTTTCAAGTGACCAAAACCACACTATTACATTTTCGAATCACAACATAAATTCTCAACCAAAATTCACCATTATCATCATTGCTACCTCATTAACAACAACTGTCCAAGTTAAGCATATGCATGAAACTTTCCAATAAAAGTAATAACCTCATGCTTAAAACAACAATATACATAACAACACGTGATTAACAATCTTAATACATTTCCCTCAAACACTAGGGAATATTACAAAGGAAAACAACTTAAGCATTTTCAAACAAATCCGGATACTTGGAGCGGACTTCCGCCTCTCGTTCCCACGTTGCTTCCAAAACCCCATGGTGTCTCCACAACACCTTTACTAACGATATAGTTTTGTCCTGTAGTACTTGCTCCCAGGCATCTAATATTTGAATCGATCGCTCTTCATAAAAGACATTCTCATCTACTTCCAAGTCAACCCAATCCAGCACATGAGAAGGGTCGAATACATACTTCCTAAGCATAGATACATGAAACACGTTGTGAACCCCCAAAAGCTGTGGGGGTAAAGCTAGTCGATATGCCATTTCCCCAATTCTCTCTAGTATCTCGAAAGGCCCAATGAACCTTGGAGACAGTTTACCCCTCTTACCAAATCTCATCAAACCCTGCCTTGGTGAAATTTTAAGGAACATATGGTCACCAACTTCGAAAGATAAAGGTCATCTCCTCTTATCGGTATAACTCTTTTGTCAGCTTTGGGCCGCAGCTAGCCTCTTCCAAATGAGAGCAACTTTCTCGGTTGTCTCTCTAACAATTTTTGGACCCAATAATAGTGCATCACCCACCTCGGCCCAACAAACCGGTGACCTACAAGGTCGGCCATACAAGGCCTCAAATGGTGCCATCTCAGTGCTAGCTTGATAACTATTGTTGTAGGCAAACTCGATCAATGGTAAGTGTTTCTCCCAAGACCCCTTGAAATCAAGGGCACAAGCCCGAAGCATGTCCTCCAAAATCTGAATGGTACACTCCGATTGTCCATCGGTTTGAGGGTGGTAAGCGATGCTAAAGGTCAACTTAGTCCCTAACTG